TTTCAGCCCCTGTTGTCCCATTCTTCTACAATTGGAGCTTCATCAAGAATTTAACCATGGAACAGAAATAATGACGTTGCTTACAACAACAGCAATCCCCCCCCTTTTACGAGCAGGCAGGGGCGGAGGGGCTGCACCTGCTTGTTACCCCCCACACCCAGCTAAAGCCTCTCACCCACGAGGCTCCCACCAGTCCCCAGCATGGCACGAAGACCCCCAGCACATCGGGGGCACGGCCGCTCTGCTCAACGTGCCCGAGTCCCTCGGCACGCACACAACACCAACACATAACCCAGAACGCCAAGAATTTACAGAACGGAGGGGTTTGAATGGCAAATCCACCCGGGAAACAACTGAACTATTATTTCGAAGAGCGAAAGATGAGGGAAGGCAAACACCCCAAGCCATTATTCATTCAAAAAATACAAGAGAGAGCCCGGCCTTATCAGCTGGCCCTTGGTCTGCGGGCTCCTTAGGGGAGGAACAGATTGCGCACCTCTCGCTGCCAAACGCATCATCTGCACTTCATCACGGCGTGATGGATATCTGCTGCAAACAAGCGACTCCAGCCTGGTGTAATGCTGCTGTTCCACTCCAGAGCCCCGCAGCTCACGCCCAGAGCCTCACCTCGCAGGGCACCGACCACAACGGTGCTCCTGAACGTGCGCCGGGGCTACACCAGGCGAGCAGCAGAGGCGGCAGCGAATGCAGCAGCTGCAGCGCGGGAGGCTCCTCGGAGAGCTCCTGCTTTTGGAAGGGTTGTGCCCAGGAACACCACTTGTAGCATGACGATGGAAGTGGGGACTGGCAGCTTTGCGTGCTGAGAACCTCCCCAAAATCCTGCCGCCATGCGTCACCAGGCCCGTGCACCTGGCAGGAGCTTCCCTGCGTGGAAGCAGCGGTCTCATTTCTGGAGGTAACAACTTGTGCACCCTCCCTGTTAAAAGCTCGCTGTAATGAACGTGCTCCTGAACACAGCTGGGATCCCTAAGGGTAGAGCACATCAGCTTAAAAATTATAACTTAGCAGTGTATATAATATTTTTTTTTAAATGAGGATTTTCATGGTCAGAGCACAGGCCCTTCACGAAAATAAAATTATTCAAAACCAAGTAGAGTAAAAAAAAACTATTTTCATTCGCTAAGTATTTACTGCAAAGGCTTTGTCCAGCTCAAAACAGAACACGAGGAAGAAAGCAGCATTGTATTTGGTTGTGGGTTGCTCTTGCTAGAGCCTCCTTCTGTGTCACAGCCCGCACAGACCTGAACTGCGCCCGAAGAACAAGTCGAGCACCGCGTTTCTCACAGACGCTCCTGCTCGGTTCCAACCTGATCATTAAAGATGCTCTGCTACGCACGCGTGCCAGGCGAGCTTATTAGCAGTGGAAAGGTTACCGAGAGGGAATTAATGCAAGCACTCCGCTCACCAACATCTGACACACGAGAGAGGAGCCTCCCTACCTACACTGCTCCGAAAAGGTGCGCTCAAATTGAGGGCACGTAGGTGGCAGCTGCCAAAAATGGCATGTGAGTAACGTTCGCAATTTAACAAATCCTGATAAAACACAGGGAACGGTAACAGCAGCAATTCAAACACTCAAATCAAATGCTTGTGCTGAGATCACATCTGAAAATGCAGCTTTTTCATTGGGGCAGGGAAGGATTTCAAAGCTGCTTCCTGCAGGTCTCAGCAGCGTTGTGTGTCCAGACGCCCATGTCCCTGTGACCCATGAAGAAACCTCGGCTCACAGAAAGGCACCTCAGCTTATGACAAAGACGGGACTCCAAACACTGAGCTTGAATTTGACTCCTGCACATATCTCATCGCAGTGCTGGCCGTTATTGGGTGCAGGAAGGGCCAAGGGCTACAGAACCCACCCACCCCAGGCAGGGAGGTCAGCGTAGGGGAGCTCTCGGGTCCCCCAGAACTGGGAACTGTTCATCATCAAGTTGAGTTTTTTATTTATGTTTTGAAGCAGTTAAATAAAGTCACATTCCAGCTAAACAACGCTGCCATTATTGTAGCATCTGACTTTCAGAGGACAATTCAATTCTGGAAGCATGTACTGTAATTGCTTTTCCACTACCGGCCTCGGCTCTACAATTGTATCCTTCTCGGGAGGTCAGAACAAGGCAAGGCTCCAGCTCTGAAAAGCAATTCTGTTTAGCAGCACTACCTTATTCATCCTTTTAATCGCACACCTACGTATTCATTACCAACTCTGTGAAATGCCAGCGCCAGAACCGCCACCAGAAGCCCCTGCGATGTCTCTGCGGCAGCCTTGACCCTGTGCTGCCCCAGTGAAGGCAGAGCACGAACGGCTCCAGCTGCCAGCTCCTGTGTGGGGACCGAGCCCCCGAGGTCTCCTGGCGTAACGCAGCGGGTCCTTGCTGTAAACAGGCAGCCAGGAGCTGACGTGGGGAACCTCGCTTGCTCCAAGCAGAGGAGTTCAGCAGGAAGCGCTCTGCCTTCTTGTTGGGGCTCCGATATTTCGGCTCCGTGACGCCGGCACCTCAGGCACCCAACCCAGCTCCCTTCCTCCATCTCGACGGGCTCTATCACCACAGGACGCTGAGGAAACCGAGCAGAGAACCGAAGGTACCGGGTTTGCAGCAACTCCTGCGTTTTGCAATACGGAGCCGTCCACCACGATGGAGAAATCTCAGACTTTCATCACACTTCCTGCGGTGGAAGAGGCCCCCTGCCCCTCCCCAGAGGCAACACGCTGGGTTTGCTCTCCAACTGCCCCACGCAATCCCTGCAAACCTCTGGATATCTGAGCAGAGCACCTTGGTGATCAGGTTAACAGCACATCACAACAGCCACGGGAGCAGAGGGGAGCCCACCCAACGCCCTCGGCAGCACGCGCTGGGGCACATGGTGCTTTAAGCAGGGTAAAAGCAAAACAATCTCGTAAAATTTGCTTTTGTGCCCCCTGCATTTCCATCCACAGGTGTCCCCCGGCAGCCTCAGGGACAGAAGCCAAGCACAGGGCATGAGCTCTCCTCGGGAGGCAGCAGCAGGTTATGGACTCAGAGCTCAGCACGCCAGCCCCACCATCTCCCTCGTCCCAGAAGCTCAGGTCAAGAGCAGCGCGGCGAGCCCCCGACCAACACATGTTTTAGGCAATGCAATCGTCTGCCTCTGCAGAGCAGCAGATAGAAGCTTGTTTTATTGTAAAAGGTCACTCAACCGTGATCTCCCAGGGCTCAGGAACCCGCACAGCAGCATCGTTCTTTGTTCCAGAAGTGGGAGAAACACCCGAGCTCAAACAACGCTCCCATTCTGCGCCGCGCGACAGCGCGTCGCGACACATCGCCAGCCTTCCTCCACCGGGCTTCTCCAGCCACGGCTTCTGCAGGACCCACAAGCAACAGAGCACGGCTTTATGCCAGCAAAGCACAAACCACGCAGCAAGCAGGGGCTGCAGGTGGAGAAAGGCTCGTGTGGCACACTCATCTCGAGGGCAGCCACCATGGGCACAGCGCAGGACTCCAGGCTCCCAGTAAGAACCCAAAAGCTGCTGGTGGCCAAGCAGCAGGTCGGTGATGCCAACAGAAGGCCTGAGAGGCACAGCCCAGCCCTCTCATCCATCAGGGCAAGTCGTTTAGTCCGTATTTAGTAAATTTAAATGAAAGTTACAGTAATTAACACTATCCTGTTGGAAAAGGATGGTTTGCACTCCATAACCAAAACACCACTTAGACCGAAACTCGGACCAAAAACTCTTTGCACCAAACTCTGAAATACAACTGGTAGTAAACCACCAGTGCTGGGATTCAGCTCCGTTTTCCAGGGAACTGCAGAGCACTCACTAAAGTAAGAGCGAGCACACGCTGCAGCACAGGGTCCCACACCCGATGCCCTTTAATTACTGCGCGGCAGCAGGGGACAGCCACAGTGCCTCGGCTGTTTGGTTTCACCAAGAAACACTTCTACCACTGCTAATATTCACCAAGGGATGCTAAAATAACGTCTTATCTCCATCTGAATATCTCAGGATTATTATAGATGAACTAAATACAGTGGTTTTTCCTCAAAACCCAGGACAAAAGAAGCCTACAGCTTGTGAAGCCACCTGATGGAGCAGACCTGTACACCTCCACCAGCCTGTAGCATCGTACAGACTGCACCACCGGTAGCCCCATCACAGTGGGGGGACACACAAGCACCCAAAGCACCAGGGCAGAAGCTCAGAGCCTTCTCCACCCACCACGCTTAGGACACGCACAGGACACCCTTCCAGGGAGCCCCACACCACAAGCCAGGGTGCAGGAGAGCAGGATCCAGCCCCACGCCGCCAATGCAAGGACCAGAAGCAGCGCTTCCACCAGCGCGGAGGACAGCACCAAGCCCTCATCCTCTCACAGCACTCAGGCCAAACCCACAAGTTTTCCCCGAATTCCAGTCAGGGATAACCTACTCCTATGTCTGCTAATGCCACCAAAAATTGGGACCCTAACCTTGACCAAAAGGTGTCTCAGCACATCTGGAGGCTCCCCTGCCCGAAATGAAACAGACACCACCTGATTCGAGTATACTAATCGTGAGGAGACCAGCATTGTTAAACTGGCATCTCTAACAGCTTTGAAACACATTTTGACCACAAAGAGAAAAAGTGGATGTGATAGACCACAAGCAGGAGGACATCCACACCGAGCAGCCCCAGCAGTGCCGAGCCCTGCGGGCTGCCGCACAGCCAGCACTGGGCTCGCCCCTGCAGGAAAGGAGCTTCTGCCTTCACTGCATCCAAAGGGAGATGTGCTACGCTCCAAATGACACACACGAAAGGGTATCTAAGGGTATCTTACAACTAAGAGCATTTCATAAAATAATCCTGGTTAGCAGTACACATAAGTTACTCCATGGAAGCTGCAATATTTTGCTTCAAATCACAGAAAACACAAATTACAGACAATTTAAAAAACCATCAGCACGGACGGAAGCACTTATTAAGTAATAAAAGAGAAAAGTTAGACAGAAGCAAGGCAAATATTTACCGATTCCATAGTTGAAAGCTGTTGCTAGCAGGACATATATTAAAATCCAACAGAGGTGTGTCCCAAAAACGCTGTGCAATCTGAAAAACAGAGGAATTATTTCATTAAAAAATTAAAAAACACAATTTAATTTCATTCAAAAAACAATCACGCTACATTTGAGTACCCAAAGGCCGCTCAGTACAAATCCCTCGTCTAATCCAGCAGTAATCTGACAACAAGTCTGCACGAACAGAAGGAAAACAACCGCGGAAAGCTGCTGAGAGCACCAGCCCCGTCCCGCAGCTGCAGCCACCCCTCGGATCACACACGGCAGCTCCCTGCTCCCGAGGTTTCCGCAGCAGCCCGGGGGCCTCGTGGGGCCAAGCAGGGCCGGTCCCCACGCCGTGGGGGTGCTGGGAGCCGTGGGGCCAGCAGGACCTGCCCTGCATGCACTGGTGCTGATTCACCTCCCGGGCAGCTTCCGCGGGCTGCAGCCGCCTCTCGGAGCACACCTTTGGATCCTGCCTGCGAGGGGCAGTTAATCTGTTACAAGCTGAACCTTCTCCTTCAGCTTTTTCGAACAGCTCCTGCTCGCTGCCCCCCTGAAGGATGGTTTTGCAGGGAGAATGCCTGCTGTGGGCATTGAGGGTTTGCAGCAGGGGGACGGGAGGGCTGGGGCAAAGCCCCGCGTGCAGCACACCTCGTCCCCAACTTTGCTCCCACCTTGGTCCGCAGCAGCCAGCGTGCTCCGAGGGAAAAACAGAGCTTCAGAGAGCACTGGGTGTGTAACAGCGCTGTCAGGGCTCCTGCTACGCTTCCACAGAGCTCAGGAAGGAACTTGGAGGAGGCAGGGGGCCGGCAGCACGCTGCAGGCTCCAACTGCTAGGGTCTGCCTTGGACAAGCAGAGCCCGAAGCCTGGGCTCTGGGCCTTCCTCCCCACGTTGTGCCACTCTGCCCAGGCAGGGTAAAGGCTTCGGCACCAACTGCACAAGCTGCCCTCTGCCAAAATCACCCATCCCACCCCATCGCATCGCCAGGTCTCCGTGCCACGCCGACGGACACACGACTGAGCCGCCGCTCCGGCCAGCAGTGGAAAACCCGGAGTCTTTCCAAATTACCTTTCCTTCTAAAAGGAGAACTTCCAACAAGCAATTTTATGTAAGACATGATATCAAGTTACAAATTGGGTACTACAAAGTACAAAGTGTGCTCTTTTCAATAAAAAAGCAAGGCAAAGCACCGCGTTTACTCCTTCGCTCCCATTCCCGCTGCCCCTTTTGAAGGGCAGAGGGCCCCAGCCCGCGCAGCCCACCCACCCCAAACCAGGCAACACTCAGAGAAAGGAAATCCTGCAGCAGGTGAAGTGTTTCAGACAAGCCACAAGGACACACATGACAATCTTTGATGCTTTTCTGCCAGGAAAGCCCTGGAGATGAAGGAAGATGCAGCTCCCTCACACTTTTCCCAAGGAAAGCGACTCGTGGGGCACCAAAGGGGTCCCCAGCTTTGCTTTCTTTGCACCATGACAACACGTGCCCAGCACCTTCTCCAGCACGATTACCACACTTTCTGTACTCTTGTCCATAAAAAAAGTCACAGCTCTAGGCAGAGTTCTCCACTGGAACAGGTACAGAAGATAAACCACCAAAGGAAGAAAAACGAAGCTCAACCTCCAGCTGCGTTATCTGGAAGATCAGCAGTGGGGTTTGCTGGTGGGTAAGGACTAATTGTGAACAAAAGGCTCCAGGAATCCTGTCCCACGGCACGCCAATAGTTTTGAAGGTCTATTTACACCTGCTGCCCAGCCTACAGTGATTTTGCTCATTACATAACTGACACAAAACATACATTAGTACTGTAACATGGAGCCAGTGACCGCATCCAAGCCAAGTAGCTTGTGCAATTAGGTGTATTTTATTTTTTTAATGAACTCGTCCAAGGCTTCAAGCTACGTGCCATGAGGTGCTGCAGACACTCCATGGGACAGTGCCCCACTTGCAGATGGATCAGGGGCAATTCCCATTTATGAGCAACCTGTACTTCTGAAAGCCTAAATCACAACTCATGATTTGCCCGTCCAACTTCACAGCCTTGGAGTGATGAAGATGCATCCCCAAAAAAATAACACCAGGGCACTTGCTCTTGCTCCTGTGAGCTCACCACACGGCTGGGGCACTCAGGTGCGTGCTGAGCCAGCTGCACGAGACCTTTCCACCACGCAACACGGCCAACATTACATCTCCCTTCGTGCTGAAGTGCTGGTACAAGCACCGAGTGGCTGAGTGTGCCACGAGACCAGATTCTAGCTCAAAACCAGCCAAGCCTTTCAAGGCCTGTGATGCTCTCAGATTAGCACGCAGTAATTTGGCACCTGGGTAAGAGCCAGGGCCATTAGAAACTCAGGGTGGTGGGGCCTCCCCCCAGCTCCTGCTCTTTACCACCGCCCGTGCTGTCCTCAGCAGTTTCCCCGTGATTAGTTATCGATCACCGCTGCGCTCCCAGGCAGATCAGTAACTTCACCCGCAGCACCACTTCTGCTGGCAGTCACTGAAAAAACTGGGGATCCAGTAACTCAGACTTCTTTAATAAAAGGTTATCTTGTGTCTGTACAGGAGATAAGTCGGTGTTTGAAGTTGACAAGCCCCGTGTAATCACAAGATGTGAACCCAAAGGGACCAAACACTTGGAGTACACAGAGCTGCCTCCGAGCAGCGCCAGCAGGGCCACAAAAGCTGGGCAGGAGGCGGCTTCACGGGCTGGTGGCCGCAAGGAAGAATGAAAATACATCCCCTCCGTACTGATGCAGTCACTTAAAGGATCGCTGTTCAATTTTAATCACTTTTCATAGGTTTATAAGCCCAGTTATTCCTGAACGTGATCAACAACGCGGGAAGGTTCTCCTTGCAATCCCCGTGCTGCAGGCAGTAAGAGCCCCATGCCGAAGCCTCCTCTCAAACAAACGAGGCCGACCTGGCAAACAAGCAGGTCTGTTTCTCCATATTAGCACTTCTTTGAAGCAAAGAGGTGCATTTTGCTTTGAAAGCAGACCTGCATTAATTCAGGCTCCGTGGTGATCCAGAACTAAGCGGCGTGGCGGGATATCGGCATTAGGTTCGGATCCTGGCTTACGCCAACTTGTGAATGAAGAAATCCCCGGAGAGTAGGAGAGCCCTGCTCCACGGCTCGCAGCTGCCTCCCGCAACATAATTTACAGAAAAGACAGAATTTCAATGAGGGATCTCTCCGAGGGCTTCACTGAGAAGATACACCGGGGAATACACACGACACCGATGCGGCTGTGCTCTGAGATAAGCTCCGGTACCTGAGCTGGAGAGCACGAGGAGGAGCACGTCCAACAGCTCAGCCATCCCAAGGGCCGTGACCAGTCCAGAAACGCACGCTCCATGGGCAGGCAGAGAGCAACCCCGCCTGCAAACACCCGTCCTCCTCACTGCTAGGGATGAGAAGGATTCGCTTTCAGAAGTTATAAAGGCACCCTACAACTCGGCAACCTGCAAGCAGGCAGCACCAAGACCCCACACGGCTCCCAGGAACACCCGCAGCCACCTCCTGCAGCGGGGCCGTGCTCCTGCCTGGTTGTGGCAGATGAGCCCAAGAAGGGAGCTCTGGATGGAGCACCACGTGCTGAGGAAGGAGCCTCTCGTGGTCACCCTGCTCTGTCCAGAGCTCACGCTGAGGGTCCCGCTGCTCCCGCAGACCTCCAGGCCCAGCAGAGCACGGCCAGGGCACTGCCAGCCCCTCGGCAGCGCTCAGAGCAGGGCAGGAGCCGATCCCAAAGAACTGGCAGGAATCAGAGATAAATGCCGTGCCCTCAACCCAACTGCCCGTGCACTATCAGTGGCTCGCAGACGAACCACCCCGAGGCAGGCTGAGCACCCCACCGTGCTAACGGGGCTCCCAATGCCGTGCACGCCGCCTTCCACCGCAACCCGCGCGGCAGCGAGCCTTTCGGCAGGCACCCAGCGATGCTCACGCAGCAGCGATTACTCAAGTGGAAAAGCAAAGCAGAGAGCATTCCACCAGCGCTTTTGTTTTTCAGAAAAAGAAAACACCCTTCAGTATGCTCAAGTGTGACAAAACGGGAAGAGCTCCAGCGTTAAGCAATCGAGTTGCGTTTTACTTTCAGAAGCTGAGCAGACGATGTACTCCTGGGCTCCAAGTTCCTCTATTTTGCCCTGCAGATAAGCACGCTACATCTGCATTGCTCAAAACCCTGCCACCTTTGCCATCTGATAAAAACACAAAATAAGTTGATGTTGTCCTCAAGAGCAAAACAAGCTACCTACGTGTGGGCTGAGGAGCCTAAGGCTCAATTTATCCCATTAAAAAAAAAAAGCATGGAGGGAAAGATGCGGTTCCTGAATCACGGCCTGTGGAACCAAGTTGTCCTTTAAGCATTTTAACTGGAAGTCTGATAGGGACAACGCCGTCCCCAAGAAATTGAGGGCTGACACCAGTCTAAATTCAGGAAGCACCGAGTTATTTACAGGCCTGCAATGAAAGGAAAAAACTCAGGATTTGGGGCATCAAATAACCAGTTTTGATGTGTTTCAGGTACTCCTCAAGACCTGGGTGTTTTCAGCTCATTCAGCTGCACTACTCCCAGGATTTCCGCGCTGGTACAGTGTGAGCGAGCTTCCAGCACCAAATATTTCGGGGTGACCCCGAGGAGTGCCTGAGCACCACTGCTGCCTGCTTTATAAATACCGCGAGCACCACGCTTATAAGGAGAACGTGCCCAGGCGTTTGTGTACGGTACATTTCTGTGTTCCCTTTTATAGAAATAAGACTTGGGAGGTTTGAATAAAAATTCTGCAATTCATTTCAGTAGGTCAGAAGATAGTGCAGAAACGTTTCAATTTTGGGTTGAAATTGCATTAAACTAAAAAACTCATTATCAGCAAAAGGCTCCCCTAACACCTCACTGGCATTAACCCTTGCAACCACCACAGGAGCAGAGCAACAAGCTCTGGAGTTACCTGAAATTTCAATTTTATTATGAAGAAACAAGACAAGCAGTGTGAGACACCTGAATCCCCTACCTCTACGGGGGAACTGCTAACCCCTCAGGTTACA